GGGGGGGGGTTGGGCTAGATGATCTACAAAGTCCCTTCCAATTCTGTTAATCTAAATCTAAACCCGCGGTGATGGCTCATCAGCGGCAGCTTCCCCGAGAAGCCCTCGCGAAGCAGCCCACCCACTTGATGTGTGGTGGTTGCGTGCCAAATGGGGGGGTGTGCGTGCTCTCCCTGGAGAAATATTGTAGCTTGCCAAAGATGGCAGGAGAAAATATTGAGATCTTGCTGCGATCAGTCAACCAGATTGGCTTTGGCACGCCGAAGCGTCGCTTTCCCTGCCAGCCCAAACAACAGACGGTGACGGGGCCTGGCTTTTGGCAACCTGAAAGTGGAGGTGCTTTATGGGCACTGGGGGGGCGGAGGCTTGGTTTTTCCCAAAGTCTGGACTTTCCCAACTTTTCTGGATCGCTAGGGGTTGGGGCCAAAAAAAAACCCAGGTTTGCAGGGGAAAAAATCGACCGCAGTTGATAATAGGACCAAAACAAACCAGAACTGAGATTTGCAAGGTTTCCAGGGTTACAGGCTGGTTTGTGAGATCTGGCTTGTTCAGTCCATGTTGCGAAAGGAGAAGACAGAAAGTTTTGGCAGCATCTTGTTGGATCGGATTGGTGATTGGAGAAGCTTTGTTCTGGCTTACCATTTGCTGTTCCCTGGGACTCTGTTCTGGCGGGGGTCTTTTTAATGCGTTGGGGTTAAATTTGAGGTCTTTTTTTAAACCTGAGTTCCTCAGGGCAAGGGCCAACAGGTGAGCAAAGCCCCCAACAAAGAATAATTTAAGAGAATTAAATCCTCTTGATGATTGTGCTTTAACAATTTAATTTTCAATGTTGCTATAGCTCAGGGGTCTCCAAACTTGGCAACTTTAAGATTTGTGGACTTCAACTTCCAGAATTCTCCAGCCAGCTTTGCTGGGAGTTGAAGTCCACAAGTCTTAAAGTTGCCAAGTTAAAAGTTTGGGGACCTCTGCTTGGGGACCTTAAAGTTTGGGGACCTCTGCTTAGCTGTTGGGCTTTCTTGCTTACCAGCACGTTGTGTCTTTCAATTGTGCCTTTGCAGTTGTTCTCTTTTGTTGCCCCCATCCTCCTCCCTTCTTTTGGGCAGTTTTGTTAAATATTTAAACACTCTTGCAAAGTGCAGGTCTGGAGAAATCAAGTAGCCTTGGTGGGCCAGCGTTGCAGGCTGTTGAGTCCAGAGGGTTTGGATCACTGTGTCTCACAGCCTTGCCATCTCGCAGTGGCGTGACGGGGGGAATTCGGGGGTGGTGGTGGTAGTGTTTGAAGTCCACCCATCTTTGAGTTGCCAAAGTTGAGAAACGCAGATTCTTGTTCCGCTTAGGGGCACTCTGAGACTTTTTACACACACACACACTTTCACAACCTGGCACTGAATGCACAGAAGAAGGCAGTGGACGGGCAAAAGATATATTTGCTATCGTTTGCATTTTGCGGGCGTGGTTCTGTTGGCATTTCAGATTTCTATCGCGTTCCCGCTTTGGGGGTTTTGGAAAGAAAAAATATCGTCATAAACGGTGTAGAGAGAACCTAAGCTGCAAGAACACAGCAAAGCTCATTAGAAAGAAAAACTAGGTTTAGAGGCCTCTGATTATTGGTTAGATTACTCCCAAAGCTGGAAAATAGATCAGATCCGTCACTATTCTGATGACTCTAAAATTCTACGCCGGTACGGTCAGATCTGGGTCACCCTAGGCAGGTAGGGAATGAAATTCCCGATGGGTCTGATGTTCTGAACTCCCTCCGTAGCTGGCACTTCCCTGGCTCTTGGCACAGAACAAATCATGCATTATTATTTTAGTTGCACCTGCTATTTTTAATCTCGCTCCTGTTTTAGGCAGCCTGTCTCCATTCAAAACCTTCCTGCGTTCCAGGTGTTTGTCCTTTGAGCGTGGTCTATCCGCCTTCCGCAGCATTCCTGCTGCTAATAGATGGGTCCAGTTGCAATTGGGGTCTTGCTTGCCTTAATTATCTCTCTCCACCCCCCCCCCCCGGCCTGTGTGTGTGTGTGTGTGTGTGTGTGGTTGGCTGCTAAAGAGGAGAGAGAGTCCTGTTCCCACCGTTGATCTGCCCGGAGGTAATACTGTCGGTGGCCTCGTCACTGCTGTGGCTTTGGTCACTTTTAAGACGTGGGGACTTCAACTCCCAGAATTCCCCAGCCAGCATAGCCTGGATTCCCAGAATTCCGGGGATTGAAGTCCACAAGCTGTACTCTGTGTGTGTGTGTGTCTGGATCTCACTCGTATCTCTCGGTTTAGGCGCCTCATGACTCGTCTGGACGACATGCGCCGTAACATGGCAGGCGACGGAGTGAACCGCTGCATTTTGTGTGGAGAACAGCTGGGTCACCCAGGCTCGGCTTGTGTGGTGTGTGAAGACTGCAAAAAGGTGAGGGTGTGTGTGTGTGTGTCAGTGTCTTTCTTGCGCCCCTGCACGAGGGGTCTTCTTTCAGTCTTCCGCTTCCATGTAGCATTCCTCTCTTTCCTCTCTCTTGCTCTCTCTCTCTCTCTCTTCCTCTTTCTCCATCTCTCTCCCATTTGCAAAATGCCTCGCTTTCTGCCTTTCCTCTGCCTTTGTTAAAGCTCTTTTTTAAATTAATCTTCTTCTTAATTAAGTCTCTTAATTAAGTGGACTAAAGGGGAGGCGGGTCTCTGCGCAAAGCCAGGAGGGCGGCATCTTGGCTGCAGACACGACGGATGAAACGCTGCTCTGGCACCCAGCCCCTTTGAACCCGGAGCCTTCTGCACTGCCGCCCAGGACAGGCGCCATCCTTGCCCGTTTCTCTTCCTCGCAGAACGTCTGCACCAAATGCGGCATCCAGACCACCAACAACCGGCCCCACTCCGTCTGGCTGTGCAAGATCTGCACCGAGCAGAGAGAGGTGGGCCCTGGAGACGCCCCTTGCCCCTCCGGGGTCGCCCCTGGGGAACGCTGGGGATGTGTCCCCTTTGGGGCTCAAAGCTAGAGCGGAGCTGTGGGGGGGGGCGGTCCTTTTCTGCAGCAGGGGCCCCTTTCCAAGCTGAAGGCCGCCCTTACGCGATGGGGGCCTGGAGGAGGGGGAAATTCCTCCTCCGGGGTTCATAGCAGAGTGTTCAGCAGAATGGAATAGGATAGAATAGAATAGAATAGAATAGAATAGAATAGAATAGAATAGAATAGAATAGAATAGAATAGAAGAAAGAATAGAATAGAAGAAAGAATAGAAAAGAATAGAGAATAGAATAGAATAGAATAGAATAGAATAGAATAGAATAGAATAGAATAGAAGAAAGAATATAATAGAAGAAAGAATAGAAAAGAATAGAGAATAGAATAGAATAGAATAGAATAGAATAGAATAGAATAGAATAGAATAGAATAGAATAGAATAGAATAGAAGAAAGAATATAATAGAAGAAAGAATAGAAAAGAATAGAGAATAGAATAGAATAGAATAGAATAGAATAGAATAGAATAGAATAGAATAGAATAGAATAGAATAGAATAGAAGAAAGAATATAATAGAAGAAAGAATAGAAAAGAATAGAGAATAGAATAGAATAGAATAGAATAGAATAAGAATAAGAATAAGAATAAGAATCAGAATGGAATTCTTGATTGGCCAAGTGTGATTGGAAGCACAAGGAATTTGTCTTTGGTGCAGAAGCTCTCAGGGTACAGAAAAGATAGAAGAAGGAAAGTTAACCCTTTGGATTGCTGTTATAGTTGTAATTGCTTTTATATATTTTATTGCATTTGGATAGCAACATAGGCGGCGTCTGAATTTAATAAGTAAAATCGAATGCAGCCCCGGGATCCAGAGGTTTGTTAAAAGTCCTGTGAGCCCCAGGAGGACGGTACCCCTTCCGTCCCATTGACCGGATCCCTTTAATCTGGACCCCTCCCTCTCCTCCCCTCTCCACTGTCCAGGTGTGGAAACGCTCCGGGGCCTGGTTCTTCAAGGGTTTGCCCAAGCAGATGCTTCCCCAGCCTATGCCCATTGCCAAGAAGGCCCCGCCGGCCGCCAGCAGGCCTGCTCCCCCCACGCAGGAGCCAGCAGCACCGTATTCCCACCAGCAGAGCCCCGGTGAGCCCTAAAGGTTTGGCCCCCCGACCTCAGAGGGGTTGCAGGGAGGCAGGAACCAGCCTCATCCCGGGACGGCAGAGTTGGAAGGGACCCTGGAGGCCGCCTAGTCCACCCCCCTGCTCAAGGCAGGAGATCCTATACCACTTCAGGCAAACCTCTCTTCTTAAAGGCCTCCATTGTTGGAGCCCTCACAACTTCTGAAGTTGAAGCTCTCCCCCCCCCCCCCCGGCCAGGAAATTCCTTCTTCGTTCTAGGTTGAGCTGCACCCAAAGAAGGAAAACAGTATTTTAAAAAGGGTTTATTTTTCCCGGGAGGGTTGCTGGGTGGGCACGGGGTCAGTTTGCCTTTCAAATGTAGGCACTGAAGGAGATGCACGGCTTCCTCCGGGCTATTTTGGGGGGGGGGAGGGGGTGTGTGTCACTTTTTAGCTGTCAAGAGAGTTTGCACTGAGAGGCAAGAAGACTTAAGACAGCAGCCCGAAGCCAACCAGCCTTGTGTCAAATCTCCGAGAAGACTTTGCCGGTGAAATGGGCCTCCGATTTGTCAGGACGAGCCAAACGAAGCCAACAACCCAACAAGATTTTGAGTGCCCCCATCGGGAGGCTGGCAAACACATCATGCCCTGTAACCTTGACCAAAGAAAATAGGGGGGCTTTTGGGGGGGGCTGTGCCCAGGTGCCAGAGTGGTCTTTGGGGGCAAGTTTCAGCATCCCATAATAATCCAGCTTGCAGAAGGGCTCAGAGGGCAGCCTCCGTCTCCTTCCTCTGTCCTGTAGCATCTTTTAAGGGTCTGGCAGAGCCGCCTTTGCGGAAACAGTTGATAAATTGACAAATAAAGGAAAACGGAGCCAATAATTATCCATCCTTTTTCTGCTTCGGTGACCTGAAATCTCCTTTTTTTTTCTCGCCAACAAGACCCAGCCACGGCTGCTGCTGCTGCTCCCGCCCAGCAAGGCCCGTACGGTAAGGCACCGGGTCCCTCTGCCTGTCAAGTGAGGTTTCATTTTGGGGGGGGAGGCTGGCTTTGGGGTGGGGGTGTCCCAGGCTGACACCCCCCCAAAGGATTCTGCAGCTTCTGCAGCTCCTGCTCTGGCCCCCGCCTGGCCTTGGGTGCCCCCCACCCCACCCAAAAGCTGCGGTTGTCAGCTGCTCATCCGGAACGGCTCATTCTGAGTGATTGGGCCATTATTAAAATCTGAATTACTCTGTCAATTGCCTGGAATTGCCAAACCCGCCGGGAACGCCAGGCCGGGCTGGCTGATTGACAAGCGGTCTGAACACTCATTAGCTGGCTCCCCAGAACAGCTGATCCAGGCAGCCAGAGGTGGGGGATGGAAAGAGAGAGAGAGAGAGAGCTCAGCTTCTATTTTCTTGGGGGAAAATGAGAATAAAATCCTTTTTTCCCCCCATCCCAGACAGGCAGGGAGGACGAATGAAAATGAGGATGCCTTGCAAAGCATTTGGCTTCCTTTCCTCGTGGCTGCTGGGAGGGGAGGAAGAGGGTGCAAGGAAGGGGGGGTTCCCAACTGCCCCCCAACCCCATTTATTCCAGGGAGCAACTGCAGGAAACAACAGGAGCTTTCCAGTTGTCTCATTTCTCTCCCCCCCCCCCCCAAATATAAACAGGAGCTGAGCCAGCAGCCCCCAATCGGGGAAATTACCCCCCACTTCATCGAAAACCTTCCGAGGCCAGGATGGCACCGAGTGGCAGCGAATACCCCAGAACGGCCCGGCCGAGCCAGGATTACCCAGCTGAGAATGAAGTCGCTCGGAGCCCCGGAGGTGAGGGGGAGCAGAGGAAGACGGGGTGTGTGTGTGTGTGTGTGTCTGTGTGAGGATGTTCTCCCGGCAGCCGTGCAGAGGGCTTGTGTTTGGCAACCTTGGCAGCTTTAAGAGGGTGGACTTCCATCTCCCAGAATTCCCCAGCCAGCCTAATCCAGCCGGATTTCCTCCATGGCCACCAACACTGTGCCCTAAAGCAGTGAGGTCTCCAACCTCGGCCACGTTCGGACTTGTGGACTTCGGCTCCCAGAATTCCTCAGCCAGCTTTGCTTTGTGACGTCCACAAGTCTTAAAGTGGCCAAGGTTGGAGACCCCACTGCTCTCAAGGCCAAGGTCGAATCTCCTCCTCTGTGTGAGTGTGTGTGTGTGTGTGTACATCTGGCAACCTCCGCCATGAAAAGAGTGCCTCTGAGCATGTTTCAACTGCCTTTCTTCTCCACCCTCATCCCGGTGGATCTGCCCCCAGCAGATTCCACCAGATCTCTGTAGCTGGATCCCTTCTGTTACCTTCCCTCCGTCTTCTTTTCTCCGCTGCTTAGGGATCAAGCGAGCCCACGCGGCCCCGACTGCTGGCACCAGAGACCCCGCTGCGCTTCCCCACCAGAGCCCCTCTGCCCAGGGGGCAGGACCAGGTCCAGTAGGGTGGCTGCGTCACGCCGGGGACCCCCCACCCACCCACCTGTGTGTAAAAGGGGTGGAGGGCTGGGCTCTGAGATTCAGCCACATTCCCACCACCCATCTTACCTCATGAGGTCAGAGCTGAGCTTAGGCCGAGCTCCCGGGCTGATCTTCCGCCTGGGCCCATCGCAGACAGTCGGACCTGATTGTGTCCATGCCTGTTTCCAGAGAAAACGTTGGCTTTTCCCTCCAGCCATTCTCGGCTGCTCTCTTTCCTTTCGCAGGAGCGTCCTCCATGGCTCTCTCCCACGCGGAGCCCCCTGCCTCTCTTCCTGCTGTGCCACCCAGGGAGGAGAGTGGCGGGCCCGGGTACCCCGCGGCGGGGGCAGAGAGGCAGGGGGCTCCCTACGGCCAGGCCGTGGCTCAGCCTGCTGCCCCTGCGGCCCCCCGGCCCCCTCCTCCGGACGATGACGACGAAGAGGAAGCCAACAGCTACGACTCCGATGAGACAAGTAGGTGGTTCCGCTGTCAGGGCTCCGGGAGTGACGCCCGTTTAAATCACGAGTCTCTAGCCGGCTTTTCAAAGCTTAAAGAAGATTTATTAGGAGTGAACATGCCGGCACTGCCTGGGTGCAGCCAACTCCGAGACACATCCTTCATTTCCCCCTTGGCCCTGGTCTTCCCCCACCCTAACCCATTCGCCCTTCGCTCCTGTCCCAACAGCCACCCTGGGGGCCTTGGACTTCAGCCTCCTCTACAACCAGGAAAACAGCTCCTTGCAATGCGCCATCATTAAGGCCAAGGTAGGCCGCTTCCTTTTTCCCCATCAGGGACAGGTGGGCTTTAAGACAGGTGGGTAAAACTGGCGGCAGGGAAGCAGGTAAAGGGGTATTTTTTTTTCTTTATATAAAGCCTTAGTAAGGCCACACCTAGACTCCTCTGTGTCCAGTTTGGGTCACCACACTATAAAAAAGATGTGGAGACTCTAGGAAAACTTGCAGAGAAGAACAACCAGGATTAGGGGACTAAAACATAGGAAGAACGGTTGCAGGAACTGGGCCCGGCTAGTCTGGTGAAGAGAAGGACCAGGGGAGACAGGAGAGCAGCCTTCCAATATTTGAGGGGCTGCTCCAGAGAGGAGGCCAGGGGTCAAGCAATTTTTCCAAAGCACCCGAAGGCCAGACGAGGAATAATGGATGGAAACTGACCGAGGAGAGATTCCACCTGGAAATAAGGAGGAATTTTCTGACAGGGAGAACAATCAACCCATGGAACAGCTTATCCACGGAAGTTGTGGGAGCGTCATCACTTGAGACTTCCAAGAAGAGACTGGGCTGCCCTTTGTCAGAAATGGTGTAGGGTCTCCTGCTTGGGGTTGGACTAGATGACCTACAAGGTCCCTTCCAGCTCTGTTAACCTGCAATTCTCTCCACCCTCGTTGACCTCTGCGGGATCTTTCTTCTATCAGGGCTTGAAGCCGATGGATTCCAACGGACTGGCGGATCCCTACGTCAAGCTGCACCTGTTGCCGGGGCCCAGCAAGGTAAGGGGGGGAGGGGAGGATCTGGAGGCCCAGCGTGGCTCATTCCTGTCTCTGAAGTGGGACCGTCTGGTTCAAGAGAGAGATACCCATGGGCCCCTTCCTCACCCCACCCCGCCCTCTTCCAGTCCAACAAACTCAGGACCAAGACGCTGAGGAACACCCGGAACCCCGTGTGGAATGAGACCCTGGTCTACCACGGCATCACGGATGAGGACATGCAGAGGAAGACCTTAAGGCAAGAGGGCGGCCTGGGCCCCACCGGGAGGCCCCCAGCGGTTGGCCGGAGACGCTTTTCCTGCCTTTGAGA